GTTTGTTTTTGTTTTGATAGAGATTTAAATCATAAAACATTATCTACAAAAAACTTTAACCGATCAACATCAATTTGCATAACCCCTTTAAATAACTTTAAAAAAAATTGAATGAAAAAAAAATGTGCATCTTATAAGTCGAGAACCAAAAGACTGTATGTACATTTTTGTTTTCGAATAAATGCATTTTGCTTACTTTTCCTGACAACTTATCTAAACTTTTAAAAAATGTATTTATTAGGATATTTGAGTATATTTTGAGGCGAAAAAATCATAAAAAAGTTCAGCGGTTGTAGTCTAGTCAAATTAGGTCAAAAAATAGGCTAACTTGACAAAATTTGGGTATAAATGAATTTGGTATCATTTGAAGCGTAATTTTATCAACTTTAATATATCCAAAGTTCACCAAATATCACTTTGGGCAAAAAAAGTTATAACTATTATTACTGACCTCACTTTTTAGATTCAAAAAAAAAAAAAAAACTAAACCCGTAAGACTTGCTTTTAATAAGTTGTGACAATACAACGCGATTCATATAATATTTTGTAAAAATATAGTTTTAAGTTTACAAATTATAAAAGTGTAAAATTAATTACATAAAATGCTGACATTTTATGTAATTAATTTAGCATTTTTTACTTAAATCCAGCATTGCATGCTCAAAATGCGCCGTTTTTTCTTTTAAAATATACAATGTTAAACACATTAAAAGAACTTGTTTGCTTTGCAAAGATAGTGACCTTCCTATTCAAACAAAAAATGTTGAAAGGAAAGGTATTAAAACCTTAATTCATTATTCACAAGTAAAAAAGATAGTGACCTTCCTATTCAAACAAAAAATGTTGAAAGGAAAGGTATTAAAACTTTAATTCATTATTCACTAGTACGCAACAATAAAGACCTTGAAGAAGAACTTAAGGAAAGGAACACGGTTGCTGTACATGTGGCATGCAGGCGTGATTTTACAAATCTGAAAAGAAAAATATTAAAATGTCAAATGGAAGGCCCTACAATTAAAAAATTTCGTTTAGTAAGATATTTTTGTATTTTCTCAATTTTATGCTAGTGTCACTGATCGATACAGTTAACTATGTTTATATATGTAGGAGTTACTTTGTTCAATTATGTTCTTTTAGCTGTTTTTTATAAATTTATTGTGCGGCCTCATCATAATGACATCCCATTTGCTTAAAAATAGCAAAACACTAGCTTAACATTTTTTTTTGTCAACCAATTTATTTTTAACGCAGACCGATGTATTCAACTGGAAGCGATGCTGCTTCATTCGTGGTAACCTAGCATTACCCGATTCTAAACATCGTGATTGTAAAGCCGTAATACAGGTGCGGACAATAAAATTTAAACAAAGTCAGCTTAAGGTTTGTGAAGACAGAAAAGATATATGGGCATTTGAAAAAAAATCTTGTTTGAATCGCTGTTGTGATCTGGTTGCAAATGATGCTATATATTACTTTGAATGTTATAAGCTATTTTCAAACAAAAGGGTTTTAACCAACAGCCTTTAATTCCAATATATTTAAATTGATTTATCTTCTCGTGTTATAGCAATATATAAAAAATGTTGTTAAATGCAATTAACAAGTACAAATTGCAAATGATAAAAAGATTTGTAGTTAGTAGCAAATGATAAAAAGATTGTATTCTATAATAAAATAATATATTGACCGATTCTGAACGATTTTGACCGAGTTTCATATGCTAATCTAGAAAGTCGTAATATATTTACAGGTCAAACTTGATTGAAACAGAAAAGCCTGGTCGCAAAGAAAATTCAACAATGGCGGAACACTTTGTGAGGCTTTGTGATTTGTTTGAGAGTCAAATGGCTCCTGTCACATCTACTGAATTACACATTAAAATGGAAGAGCTAGCGAACCCGAAAGATATTTATTCAATGAAGCACTTAAAGAGAAAATTACAAAGGCAACATAGTTATTAGCCAAACTGAAGGAAAATCTAACTAAGTATGCTTTAAAGATGCAGCTACATTTATTGTTAACAAATCTAAGGCAGAGAACATACATAAAAGCGAAGTTGAAGTTATCGTTAGAACCGCGGCTAAGTTGATAAGGCAGAAATTTTAAATCTTAAGTTCAGCACAGAGAATTACCCATCTAAATACAATATTGAGCATCATGAAGAAAGTTTAAGCCCATTGTTTGGCCTCTTTATGAAACAAATTACATCTGACGAACTAAAACAATCGTCCATTGGTCAAACTATAACAAAAGCTATTCAATCGAGGTTTTACGTCCCACCTTTGCTTTTTTTACCTTGGTTTAGGAATAAAACTAGATCACAAGTTTGCATTTAAATGGACGACAAATGAGCTATTTAAACTAGGCTTTTGCATATGTCCATCATAAATAACGCGCTTTAAACACTCTGTTTTGGCTAACGACGATAACATTGTTAAAGGAGTGCATAATGGTTTATTTTCTCAGTGGGTGGCAGACAATGTTGATCATAATATCTGCA